AAGTTAATGCACAAAATGAGAGATGGAAAAAACATTTGCCGAATAAGTTCTGAAATTTTAAAAAATTGCTAAAAATTCTAATTAAAGTCGGATGGAAACACGACTAATGTTGCTGCTACAATTGAAAAAATGGCGCCTCGAGTTGTTGCTGTGAAGTCAGCTCAGACGCAACCAGTGACTCCACCCCCAAGCCAATCAGTGATGAACTGATGTCGCATTTTGGTGTCAACTGGGACTACTTGGAAGCACAATGAAGTAAGTACTAAAAAAGTGCCGGTTCCAAGAATCTGGCTTAATGGAAATGGCTTGGAACCGTCCTGTACCGTACTGACACTAAAGGCACTAGTGGAAAAGGGGCATTACATGCCCTTTAGGATTGTCTGTCCGGAGATTGCAGAGCCATTCAGGGCTCCAGTCCCAAAACAGTTCTTTAAACACAAAGACCTAAAACCTGCTATGATGCAAACATAATGCATGAATAAATCAGTGGCAAACCGCTGTCCTCCTGCGCTGAAAGGTAAGAACAAAGCAAGTGTTGCAGAGGGAGGCCGCAACCTGAATAACGATCTGATTTGGCGCTAATGGCAGCTCATTACCAGACCACCCCCAGGGTGCACTGAGAGCATCACTTCACAGAACAACGTGATCACATTAGTGCTGAAACAATTAATCGATTATGTAATGATTAAAGGATTCATTAATAAGGGATTTCAGTGATGAAACCACGTCTGATATCATCAAAGCAAACGGTCAGCTGGTTCTGGAGATAGGCAGCTGTAAACATTGGAGATTTGTGTTTGCATTTCTGAGGCTGTCCACTCGGTTACAGGCTAACTGCTGCAGAGATACAGATGATTATATTGAAGTGTGAGWAAACAGAACAGATTAGAGAAGTCATCAAATATTTATCATCTGAGTTTCATGTGTCTTGTGAGCCTTGCAGAGGTTAAAGTCAAAATAAAGCAAATTCAGAGATTCGCTCTAAACTAGTGGTGAGGAAGGCCTCAACTTTAATGTAATCCRGGGGTTTGGAGTCTTTTTGCAAGACACTCAGAAGGAGCTGTAATGCAAACATAAACAGAAAGACAACTTCAAATATCAGGAACATTAAGCACGGAAAATTATGAAAATGTGACATTCTGAGGAAATATTAATTTATACATTTCTCCAAAGCTGTAAACTTGAATCTGCTTCGTATTTATAAACAAAAAGAGGAATCCTTTGGAGCAGTTAAAAAAACACACTTCAGACGTGTTTGCCCAAATTTGTTGTCAGAATAGCAGAGAGTTTATCTGCAACACGCCACATGAGATGCTTGTTTTGCACTTTGTAGCTGCATCTGAATTATAAAGCAGAAGATTTTTCTCTGTCCTAATGTGCAGCAGCTACCTTAAAAAAGGCATCAACAGCTTCCAGTAAGCATATTAACAGACAGAGAAGTGAGAGAAACACTGGCTCTGAATCGACGTGTGAGAGGACAACGCAGGCAGAGGAGCTGAGGAGCACATGTGGTTGGAGCTTTGTGCACCAGTATGAGGCCATCAGATCATTTACTCCCACATAGCAAGTCATGTTGCTCAAATTATAAATCAGTGCGCATGTCCGGATTTTCAATAAATCTGCAAATAATGTATTGCACAGGAAGTCCCATCCAAGTCTGAGCCACCGTATGAATGTCAGCAAGAAAAACATCAGGATTTGGTGTTTTGATAACAAAATGTCCAAGTACGTCTCAGAGTAATGGGTGAAAACTTTTAGGCAATTACAAAATAAAAATAAAAATAATTTTAAAAAAAGTTGCCACAAAAAAATGGTCACTCTAATATTTCATTGGACCGCCTTTATCTTTGATTACGGCACACATTTGCTGTGGCATTGATTGGATAAACTTCCTAGACCTGACCAACTGCAGCAACCCCAGATCATAGCACAGGCTTCTACCCTCTACAGTAGGCACTATGATGGGTGCATGCTCGAAGACGAAGGGTCCCCACCATCCTTCCAGTTTTTAATAATATGCTGGACAGTTCTTAGCCCAATTTCAGTCATTTCTGTAATCTCCTTTGTTGTTTTCTCTGCTTGATGCCAATGATCTGACCCTTATCAAACAGACTGACATATTTTCCACGACTGGATGTGTCTTTCCACGTGGTTGTATGAGAAATGAGAAGCAACTCATTGCACCAGTTGGGGATAAATAACTTGTTGCCAGCTGAAAGATAATTGCCCATGCAGTAATTATCCAATAGGAGGCTGGTACCTAGTTGCTTAGTTAAAGGGGCAATATTATGTGTTTCTCAGGCATATATTTAAATAC